GTACACCTTAACTTTATAAAAATAAAAAAAGAATGTCAACTGCTTCCGGCTCTGCAGATATATGGCCCAGGTGACAGGGTTATTGAGAGGCCAAAGGGACCCTGATCAGCCAGCGGTGTCTTTGGAGTAGGTGCTGCGAGCCCTGGGAGGTGCTACTGCGCACATGAAGGCTGGTGAGTTGGCCGAGGGCGTGGAACTGGCTCCAGAGGGGAAGGAGTAAAGGGAAGGGACCCTCTGGGACCTGGAGAACTTTGGGAGGCTGGAGGCAGGAATTCCCTGCCATTGCCTGAGGCCTGGTTTGGAAAGCGCAATGCAGTTCTGGCATGGTGGTTGCTGGCCTGGAATGTGGTGGGGTGAAGAGCACAGTGGAAGGACACACTGAGTTCCTGACCATCCAGTGACAAAGGAGCAAAAAGACCTTGGAATCCGTGAGAAGGCAGGAGAAGTTTCTGCCGGGGTGGGACGGGAGCTCTGGACTGCGGCTGGACATTCAGGTGGGTTTCTGGGTGGGAAGCCTGCCTCCCTCACAGGCCGCGTGAGCTACAACGGTTCTAGTCAGAAATGGTCATGACTTTTGACAGGGGCCGGGGTAAGGACACAGAAATGAATTCGCTCTGATGAAAAAAAGAGCTGGAAGGAACTGAACATTAAATATGAAGCCTGTGGCTATAGTTAGAGTTTAGGAAGTAATCTATTTAAAATGGGATGCACATAGGTTGGAGGTAGGTGGGTGAATGTATTCAGATGATAATAACTAGTCTAAGTAGAAAGAATGAAGTATGGTTAACCAAAAAATGCCTGTGGAGTGCTAGAGAGATGTGATGAGAGGACGTGTGAGTGCATCTTCCTGTGCACTACGAAAGACCAGTGACGTTGAGATGCTGACAGTGATGAGGCTGGTGGGTCTTCTCCTGTCCCCAGCCTCCAAGATGGATACTCAGAGTCCTTCCAGCTCTGATTCTCAGAGATCTAAGTGAGACGTGGGAGGTCTCACTGAACATTTCCAAGAGCTGCTTCTGAATCGTTACTGATGCCCTGAGTTCATGCATTTCAAGTTTGTGCAATGAAAGTAAAATGTGAAAATGCACCCCAAAATGTGAATATGCCCCCAATTCTTTGAAAGAGTTTCTAAGGAATAAATAATAGAGTGGTAGATTTCTGCCAGCCTTCTGCCTTGATCCTTGTTTCAACTGGCATATTTCCAAGCATGTTGCAGAAGTACTTTTTCAAATTGGGGCTTCTGTGATTACCATACGTAGAGAGAATTTTAAAGGGATCTTCCAAATCATACATAGAATTTCGCATATGACTACATTTTAAAGGGTTATAACATTGCCTCCTTAAATACGCCACTGCATGCTGACCGGAAGGAATTAAGCAGATCTAAAAACCCCTTGCAGACGATTCACTCCAACATTAGATACAGAGTTGCAAAACTATACCAAATTAGCATTGTAAAAAATCACTTGCATTGTAGACACTACAAGAAAGTAGTTAAAAAGAAATTTACTTTGATTTTTTTTTCATTATTTCCTGTGACAGCTGAGGACACTCATATTTGCAGAAATGTTTTCATTTTCATTTAGATCCCCCTTCTGTTTGATATTAGCAAAAATAACAACTCACTGTTTACATCCCATCTGTTGTTGGCGTGAAAGAATTCTTAATGGCCATGGAATTGATCATGAAGAGGGAACAAGGAGAGTCACCAAAAGATGAAAACTATTCTATTAAATGCCTTTGTAATTAAACTACTGGGTCTGAGAAAAAAAGTACCAACTAAATTTCCATGTATTTAAAATTACTTTTTTTGTGAAAACATATAGCAATTGGAAATCTGTCAAGGAAAGTAAAAAACTTTTCCCAGTGTTAATGAAATTTGATTCATGATATTTATCTACAAGATATAAATATACAGATGGATCCCAGGTACTCCGGAGGCTGAGGCAGCAGGATCACTGGAGCCCAGGAGTTCGTACTGGTGGAGAAAAACATGACTCACATGGTGACAAAGTACCAGGCAGTTGTAATGCACAGCCAGAGTTAAGATCCCTGCTCCTTAAAAGGGGTTCCCAGACTCATAGCATATCAGCGTCACTGGCAGACCCACTGCGTCAGCATGTGCAGCTGAGCCACGTCCCAGGTGATCAGCGATTCTTGGTGAGTCGTCATCCAAGAGCGTGTTCCTCCTGGCTTTCCCCGCCTCCCAGCTTTATGCTCTAATCTCTGCCTGAACCATTCTTCTCATGACTCCTGCTCTTTCTCCTTCCCACAGGGTAAAGTCCACACTTTTAATCTGGCCTCGAGCCCTTTGCAATCTGTCCAGTCTCCCCTTCAGTCTCTTTTACATCACATGAACCATCCACTCCAGTCAAAACTCCCTGTAGTTTTTGGCCTCT